TTTTTCATCCTAACCAGTTTAGACTCCGCGACCCCGCAATTGTTCTCTGTCTCTTCCTGGAAATTGAATCCCATTTTTTCGTTCCTTGTTTTTTTCTCCATAATTTCTTTTCCTATTCCAAAATTTTTCGTTTTTTTTCCTTTTCCGAATTGCCGCCTAGAATAATTTACGTTTCCTCTCCTGGCGTCTAGAATGGCTTTTCTGTAGAACGCTGACACAAAACCGAAACAACATCCATTTAGTCCTCCACACCAATTTCCTCCAACACGTCTATATTCCAAGAAAGACAAGACAAAAGCCAGAATGGAAGAGTTATGGAACACTCCCCAGACGTATATGAAGTATGAGGTCAAAAAGATCTTCTTTCTTCAAAACCTCTTTCTCACCCCGGCAGAGAGAGAGAGAATGAGAGAGAGAGAGAGAGTTTCCCTGGTGAATTGAGCGGAAAATTGCGCACAATGCAGTAAGATAGGCAGAAGAAGATTTGTGGCGACCAACTGAAAGTATTACTCGATTCTTCTTCTTTTTTTTCGCTTTTTTATGTGCAACCGTTGCACTTCCCTTTTCACACTCCATGTTTAGTGAATCAGTGGGCACCTTCTATGCCCTTTGACATTTTCTTCGATTAGCAACTCTCCCAAAAGTAAAGAAAGACTAAAAACAAAGTTTGGGCGAGCCCCTCCTGCCCATTCTAATTGAATAGGTTCCGCCCATCAGCCCCCTTCCTCCCTTTTTTTTATTCCCCAAAAATTTCAATGCCGCCACACGATTAATTCGTTTTACTCTTCACTCTTCTTCTTTTTCTTCTTTCCATTTCAAATTTCCAGGCTTCTACCATGACTAACGCAATGGTTTCCAACATGCCCATTGACGAAGAGGATCATCACGAATTCTGTATGGATATGCTTCACGAGTCTCATAATGACAATTCGCTACCACTTATCACTACAACTCCGGATATGCCAGCAACTGGTGAGTTTTCTCTCCGATGTTTTTTTTTTGAAAATTCAAATTAACGGTTCAAACCGGTTTGAAACTTTTCAATTCCAGATCCGAACCCAAGATCGTCCGGTTGTTCTTTATATGGCACCTGTCCACAAACAGGAGAACGAGAAAAAGTGTGCTTGTGGACAAGACGGGGACAACGGCGCTTCTGGAATCTCGAAGGGAATTCAGAAAGTCACCATTCAGTAAATGTTTGTATGATTCAATTGAAATTGCTTCTTTATTCCATTTTTCTATCAATGGTTTTTTGTCACTTATGTACAATGAAAATTTGCCTTGAATTATTAAAAAGTTATGGAAAAATAAGATAGATAGTCTGAAACAGATACGTATGAAAAAGTGTGTCAGGCTTGGCGTTTAAATATTATTCATACTTTATTCATTTGAAAAAAAACTGAAAATCGTCAACAAACGTCTCGATGTTGAAGAACTCTTAAAAATCTCATTCAACATAAGATTAAGTGGGATATTGAAAAACTTTACTCTGTAGCTTTTGCTGATTGAAGCTTTTTGATCGCTTTGTTTGAAAAATTACGGGTCTCATGATGCTACCAGAGGAGTTACACGGCTGCCAGGTCATTTCTTCTGAGTGAATGCTGAGAATAGTCATGTCAAAATTGGCAGCAGTTCGCGAATCCGAACGGAAAGTATATAGAAAATTAAAATCAAAAATTGGCAAGACTGTGAAAGTGGGAATTTCATAAGACGGATTACAATTTAGTATATATTAGGTTGGCTAAAAAATAATGGTTGTTTTTATGATCAATTGAATTTTTCATAAAAAAGGAAGTAGACAAGATTAACTCAAAAGCTATTCGCCATAATTATCAACTACTTGTAGCCAACATCCGCGCAAAGAATGGGGTCCGCTGTGAAAGAACCCCACTGAATGCGACCCAAAGTAGGCGACCACCCATTTTTCGGTCTCAACGCGGCTTTTGAAGTGTTTCTCGGCTAATGAGGGTCGCATTGATATGAATTACTGGAAATCTGAAAGTGCCAAATCAGGGCTACTTGGCGGATAAGGGATAACTTCGCAGCCCATTTTCTCGATTTTCTGCTGAGTGACTTTTGACACATGC